TTAATTCCTCGAGATTGTCATCGAAAATGTACAAAGAAAATTTTATATTTCTTCCTTCATGGCATTTTAACATTGGTGATCGACTGAAGGAAACAGTGTTTATAGTAGTTTTTTAGAATAAGCCAATTTTATAACTATTAAATCAACAATAATTAAATATAAATGCACAAACACATATTCATGCATATATATATATATATATATATATATATATATATATATATATATATATATATATATATATATATATACGGAGTCCTCGGCTTATGTTAGAGATCCGTTCCTAAGGTGTGATGTAACCTGAATTTCGACGTAGGTCGGATCTCACCTGCATAAACACCCACGAGTCTGTCTTAAGCTTGGGAGCCAAAATGAAGGGCAAAAAGTTTCCAAAAGACGATATAACGATATAAACGAGAGATAGTAAATGATCCAATATGGCGTAGAGATGGTGAAGAAACAACGCCATGTTCCCCATATCGCGCCGCGTGAAGCCGTATTGTATTATGGGAGATGGCGCCGTAACCACGAAACGCCGTACATCGGGTCCGACGTAACCCGTGGATATTCTGCATATATATATATATATATATATATATATATATATATATATATAAAGATGTAATGAAATAACTTGTCACCCCGACGAGTAACTACACTATATGTGGTAACTATCCAAAGTATCGATAAGTCAACGGACTACGGAGTCTAGATTCAATCTGTTATTCAGTTCTTAGCTTTTGTCGAACTCCCTGCCTTCGGGCTGAGAGGAACCCGGGCGAGACTCTGCACTTCGGCATAGCCTCGTCCGGGGAGGTCGACAGACCCGATTTTTTGGCCGAGCCTACGGGCTCGGGAACCCCACATTAAACTCGGCTTTGTGCCACATCTGGCTGCGTGGGGCCGTTGCTAGATAACGTTTAGCTGGGATCTGTTGAGTACGACTTACGCGAGATCTAATGACCTTCCAATAATAGTACTCACTACTGGATTGACTTGCGACGACCTTGTGCATAACTGTTACCTTATATTTACCTTATTGTACTGGTTGTTCCAATAAACCTTTGCTTATTTTATCCAACGTGATTTTCAATTATATTTTCCTATTAGCACGGAATATTACAATATATATAGTTATTTTTTTATTTATTTATTATTCCGACAGATAAATAAAATACATTAATTATTTAGAAATTTAGTCCTGATTCTGACGATGAACTAAATCCACCAACAAGGTCTCAGATCTTGGGGCGTTTTTGACGAGCGTGGAACCACCTCTTAACTGATGTTGTTTCCATTCTGACTCGGGCTGGTAACATCTGTTGGGGTTCCAGCTATTGGCAAATAGTGAACCTACAAACAAAAACAAAACAATATGAAATTATAAAAATCTATTTTTATAGTAAAAAGTACATTTTTTTATAGTAAAAATGTTAGTGATACATTTTTATATAAAAACAAATTACCAATCATCACATCAAGCAACCTGAACAGAACTCTTTTATGAAATTAAATTATATAATACCCTACAATTTCTTAAATAAATCAAACCGTATTCCAACATATAACTTCAACAAACTATCACGTAAATCATGTATACTACTGTCGCGAATAACTATGTTCACACAAACATTTATATACACAGATGAGTTACATCTATCATGTATTTAATTGTCAAAACAGAATAATATATATCATGTTTTTATTACTTTAAACGACTACGAAAATCAAGCAACTGAGTAAATATTAACTTTCAAAAATCTAGGAAGGATTTGCGTTTATGGGGTACTATTCGACTTGTTTTTATCAGTGACGTAGTCCGTGGCTTGGTCGGTCTAGCGAAGGTCAGATCTAATGAGGGTTTCTTCTGCAAAGAGAACGTTGGTTCGATTTCTGCTGGAGAGGGTATATTTTTCTATTTCTCTAATATTCAGGTCGCTAGAGAAAAACAAATAAATCTACTGTTTCATAAATAAATGGAGCGTCTACTCAAACATAGGTATCGATTAAAACAAAGTTTAAAATGATAAGTGGATGAAATTTGCGTAGCTGTTTCTTATCTAGCGCAACAAAGAAGTATTAATCAATTTACAGTTGATTTGGATAGATGTAACCGTAAGTTCTATGCTAACAGTTTCTTTTCTCGCACTTCCCACTTGTGGAACGTTTTACTGCGTTTGCTCCTTAAACCATTAGTTGCCGTGAGCCTCATTTGGGGATCTGTTAAAATCAAACACACGACATGTTATTCTTAGTATTTACATTGAATTGCTTACATACATTGCATTTGCAGAGGTATATTTTACAACACTTAGCCTTTAAAGTTTTTATTATTAGCCGTAAGAAGACCACTTTCTGTCGTAATTTTACATTTCACGAGTAGAAAAATAATGGCTATTTTGAAAAGTATTTTTTTATTATTTCTAATCAATATTATTTTTGGATGTATTATTTTAAATTTAAGAACATCTCTAAAATATGCTTAAAGTTTTAATGATTT